TTTGTTTGGTGCCGATTCCAATTCAACGTGGTTCAAAATTTTGTTTCGAGATAGAGTATAAAATCTACACTCGAAGGTAAATTTGTTCACCAACACGCGCATTTATATACTGTTTTCTGCAATTTGATTTTTATTTTTTAGTGATCTCAAAAAAAAATAATATTGGTTAAGAAATTCCATAGTTGTTGCAACAGTGTATTACATTTTATTTACGCGCGTCCGTGCAGTACAAATAATATGTTTTATGTATAATAATTTTATTATTTTACGAGTATTTTTTTTATTATTATTATTATCGTAATTATTTTACTGCGCGTGCGCAACACACGCGATAATAAAATAATATATATGAATAGTGGAAATAAAAGGGTTGAATTAGCATACCTATAGTGTTTATATAAATATAAGTGTATAATGAATTATAACGAATTCGTTCGTGCCGGAAGAGATGCCCGCGCCCGGCGGGGGCAGGAAGACGCAACCGGTTTGTGTTTTGTTTCACCTCCATAAGGTACTATTATATATTTATATGCACATTATTTTTCCTCCCCCGACGCGGTAGAAAAAAAATCCAAAACAAAACCCAAATAACACATTATAATAATATATACGCGACTATTATACACTCACGCGTACATGCACATTAAACCTATCTACTTATACAACAGGTAGGTAAATAATATGACGTGTACGTATATTATTATACTGTAACAATGAATATTAAACGAACGCGATCCCCGTGCTGCGCCGTTGTACCACTTATATAATACCTATGTCATATAGTAATATAATATGATGTGGCCGTTCCTTTCGTATCCCTTTGCCACCCTGACCCTTTTTTGTGGAGGATTCAGACGGTGGTGCGTCGGCGGCGTATTAGGTTTTTTTTTTATTTTGTCTATGCTTTTATTTACGAGAGCTATTTATAGAAAATTATCTGTTCCATTGTCTCTTGCATTTATTTGTTTGTTTTTAATATCCCTCACCAGGAATAATATACCGCGAACGAGTGATATTATCAAATAAACACTCGCGCGTGGTCATTAGGAAATATCGGTGTGAATAACAGTTATAATAATAATAATAATAATAATGATAATTACGTGACGTGTAAACATTAAAATAATATTATATTATGCAGTACGATGTCGTGTACATATTATTATTATAATCGTCGAACGCACTGTAAACTGCAGCGAGCCGTTTTCAGCCGTTATGCACGCACCGCTGCGGCCGCCGTTTCCGTCAGGGGTAGATAGTTCTAATTTTTTTTTAATTATTCGCAATTCGTCCAAAAATGATTATTGTTTTGATTGAAATAATAATTGTAATAAATCGCCGTCCGATATCACTGCAGTCGTATATTATATGCCACCTATATAGCTAATTATCACACACACGTGTTGCTCGTTCGGATATTGAATTCTTATATTATGTATTTAAACCTACTTGAACCTATATACTATAATATTATATTATTCATTTATAAATAATGGGGCGAGAATTTAATTTTTCATATCCACTCAACCGGTGTAAAATTTCAAAAAAACCAAGTCGAACGCGCGTTATTGTATCGACATTCGTACGTTTGTATGTAGAGTATATAGTATTATGTTTTCGTTACTTATACTCGGGGCAGCTTGTATATAATATCATCGTATACGGAAACAGCTTTTCGACGGCATAATAATATAATGCCGTGATATTACTATTATTATATATTTTTAACATTCCGAACGTGCGAGTAGGTAAACCGCAGCAGCAGAGATAATAATAATATACTAATATACTTTATACGTATATATAGCATTCCCGGGACGCGTTTTTCCTATAATACACTTTATTGCTGCACTGTTTTCAACAAACGACCGCGGAAACGTGTCGATTCCAAATTAGCTGCTGATGCGGAGTTTCGAGCGTTTAACGACTCTTATAGTTGCTGCATAGATAATATTATGCAAAAACGAGTACAAACAACAAACGAGAACGAACGAAAAAAAGTGAAATCCCAGACGAAACAGACGACTATGATCGTCGTGGCGTTAATTTTGTTACTCGTTTCGTAGGTCCGACGTACACTCGGGGATGTCAAACATAATATGTACAAACGCGATTAACACTCAGTTTAACGTGGCCGCACCGATGGGGGACCAGCGGCCAGACGTACATTATTGTAATTGCATATAGGTATATTTATAGGTATATATAGTTTGATGTAAATCCGAGCGCGAAATGCAGCGATGATTCGACCGTAAATGTCTATTATATTGACCTAGTTTCGGCGGACTAGAGGAGAGCGAAAACGACGAAATACTATAATCTTATAATAATAATATAATCACTGGTTCTACTGACCGCGGGAGGTGGTCCGAAAATGTGCGTCCGCCGCAGAATCACTGTGCACTGTGCCCTGCCACGATAATATGATTTATGATTTACACATATAATAATATCATATAATACCGATCTCTATATTATAGTTATACTGGGGTATTGAACAAAAAAACAGGAGACTCCTCATTTAAGTGTTTGAACATTTTACTAAGTATTACATTTTTAAACATTTAAATGTGTGAATGTAAATATGAGTATTGAGTATAGTGCATAACACTATTAAATCAATTAAAATCTGTGTTAAATAGCTATAAATTGAATAATAAATATAACATATTAGTACGTTTAATACTACGATAACCAAAATTGACAATATAACCAGTAACCACCCAACAATTTTCTTTAATCGATGTATTTTAATATTGTTGATTTTCATGTAATTTAAAAAACACTTTAATTTTTAATATATTAAAACAAATCAAATGTCATTAAATAAAAAAACATACAGACATATGACTTAACAATGTTCTATATGTTATTATTATTGAATAATGACTAATTATAATGAATTAAAATTTCCAAATGTTGTCCTATAATTTTATAAATGATTAATACAGTTAGTGAAATTATAAATGTATGTATGATAAAGTACCTATAACACGAGATAATTAGCTTTTCATAAGAATAGCCAAAAATCAATAGATTCCAATATTATTTCACATCTTTAAAAATATATTAAACTTCAAACACTACTATTACTCATGATACATCCTATCAAAACAGGAATTTGAACAATATGTGAGATAACAAATATAAAATATAGTATTAACATTGCACTGTTGTAACTTGTAGAGATAGTTATATATCAGTAGGTAGATGATAATAGGTAGGTGTAAACGGGTATAATATGTATTATTAAAAATATTTTTCTTAACGTTTTCTACTCGGTTAGAACGGCACGATAACGTTTTCCTTAACCTATACATTATTGTACATATTATTGAGGTGTGCATAATATTGTAGGTACCTAATGATATTAAATCGATACGGTGACGATTATTATTATTAACGAATCGTAAAATTAGTCCGATCAAACACTCGTGCCCTTGTACGTATTATTATTAATTAATGATCGGACTGTCTGTTCGTTACTGTGTTGTATGTAAACACCCGTTTTGGACGAGATTAAGCGATAATTAATATTATGCATATTAATAATATGATATTTATTGCAGTAATACTATTTTGTGTGTACATTATGACGTTCGGAAATAAAAAATTACATTTTGAAAATTACTAGCAGGTCGGGTGGTCGCCGGCCCTTCCGCGTGTACCTACGTATTGTGTTCATTGGTCAAACTATAGAATAGACCAGGAATGATAGCTGTTTTATAATATGTAATATATTGAAGTCCACATGTGTGCGAGAGAGACAGACAATGTATAATGCTATATTATATGCCTATGCCAAGTTATTATCTCCTTGATAAATCCTCAGGTTGCTCTTTGATAATTCCACAGATTTATATGGATTTATATTTTCACTTCACATATTTTATATCATTCCCAGTCTATTCTATTCTATATGACTATATCTATGAGTCGAACTGCATTTATAATTATTTTAATAATATAAAACGATTTTCGAGAAGCTAGACTATATAATTTTTTTTTCTTTCCTCCTATACTGCACATTCTCTGGCGACAATATTATGATTTTTAAATATATTATCATTTTTCGAATTACTTGCTACAAATTACAATACATACTATAATATATAATAATATTATAAATTCATATCCGTATACGAACGAAATCAACAGTTAATTATACAATTTTCATATTATCGTTATGTATATAATATTATAATATAATATTCACCGATGTACCTATATGTTATATTATTATTGTGTATTACCTGCGAGCTACGACAATACGACGTACACCTACGATATAAAACATAATACAGCACTGTAAATACGTATATTAATTTTTTTAATCCACGTCAAGCGAAAAATGTGGTATTTTTAATTGAAATAGGTATATAAAAAAATGTATATTAGGTACATTGTGCGAAACAGAAATTGTCGAGAAGCGGTGGGTACGGTAATTACGGCGCGTATACGGTGTTTTTAGGTCGCGCCGCCCGGTGCACACTGCTCGGGGGGGAAACGCCGCCGTCACCGGCGCTGCCGCCGGTTGCCCGTGGTCTTGTATAGCTTCTCATATTCCGGCGCTGGCTCATCGACGTCGGGTACCTACCGGCTGGTCATGCGTTGTAGTACGTGAATTTATTGGCGGTGCTCGCGAACGTAGTAGTATTTTATAATATTATAATTTTGTTTTTCGGTTTTTAAATTTTTTTTTTTTATAGTTTTCGGTTCGATTTATATGAATAACCGCGTACGATAAAGAAAAAAAAATTATCCCGAGGAAAATTTGTTTTCGTATTTGTATTCAATTTTTTTTCAATTCATTTTTCGTCGGAAAATTTTAAAAATATATAATACCGACTCTTATTGTATTATTATTAGTATTATTATTACTAACGCACTTGCGCGCGCGTGCTATTACCTAGTGACTGTTTTTCGTGTTTATTCATCAATCGCATATCGGTGTACGAATTGTATTAAACTCGAGAACGGATAAAAACGTAATCGTCGCGATGATCAGTGAAATCGAGGCCAAACCTTTGGACCTACGGGTAAAGTGTGAACCGGACGAGACGAACTCCGAATCGGACGATGCTGAAGACATCAAGCCAATCTACAAGGGTTACAAAAAATGCATCATCAAACAATTCCGTAAGTCTTTCACGCGATTTTATAATATGGACCACGAGTGATCCTGATGACGCGCTTATATACTCGTCACCTCAATTTCGCGAATATAACAGATAAAACCGGAAAACGTTTCTGCATCACACCGAGTCAAATCTCCGATTCTATTTATTATATTATATCGTTATACCTGTTACCCTCAACGACCGCGACATGGGGAGATATAAAAAAAAAAACAAAAAAAAACCCGAAAAAATGTATTAAATAAAAGGATAAAAATATAATACAACGATGCGAAATTCTTTTGTGCCGCCGCGGAGAAAGGCAAAAACAAGGTAACCTGTTAAAGTGGGTCAATCGCGTGTGCACCCTCGTCAGAACCGAGTATATATACGCACTCATCATCGGGGTTTTGTGCGAAATCATTTCCTACACATCTGCCTCCTCGTCTTCGTCGTTTTATTTCAAACAAATATATTATATACGATCTTTTTTTTGGGGTAAAAACACCTTTTACCCGACAAAAACATCCATCCGTTCGTTTTACCCCCATCGGTTTCTCACAAGGATTACATGTCGTCGTCGCTCCACGGTATTTTCCCCGTACAGTAGGTTTACTAGCTGTATAGGCGAATCTACAGTATGTATAGTGGTTGTAAAAAATATTTTGCCGAAGATCTCGTACGGCGGCAGTTTCCATATTGTAGCGGCGTTCAGTCTAGTTTATTATTATTTACGCCTCCCCGAAGTTGTCTTGGCCGCGTGCCAGCCGGTATTCGCGACGTTTCTCATGTCCGATTATCAAACATGTTCCGCTCAAAAGTCATTCGGACAGCGTGTGCACTTTATCTCGACAACAATAAATGATACCCATACACAATGAAGTCGAAACGTGGTGCATTTGCGTGCGGTTTGTTGAACCGACGGCGTATCGCGTATATGTAATAATGTATATGCGGATACGAATTTTATTATAATTAGACGAGCGCACGCGTCACAGAGAATCCAAAATAGTGAAAGTACAATAACGAAACCGTCGCCGTATACGTGTGTCTGTACGTATGTATGAATATAGCTGACGTTGTGGCGGGGCGGGGTCGATGGGTACCGTCGGCGGAGAAATCGCTGTGGCCTTGAACAATCGGGCGCGTGAAAGTTCACGGCCAGTCGCCCAGGCGTCTTCGTGTCCGCCTCTCGTCCAGGAAGTGTGTGTGCGCGCGTACACCGAGTCCCGGAAATAGGTCACGATTATAGGCGACGGCTGTGGCGGTGGTGGCTCCCCTTCGCATTACATCGGTCATTGTTTTTACACGCGTAAAAAAAAATTCCCCGACCGTTTATTGTTTTGTCGTCGTCGCGTCTCTCCGCCCGTTTTTCGAATAGGATTTCTAAAGAGTATAAAAAAAAATGTACCTACCTGTTTATAATATATCATACGCCCACGCAAGCCCGTCGTACTCTCGTTATTAATAAATTGTTATGTAGATATTATGATGTTCGTCGACCGTGTGTTAACTTATTTCGAATCTCTTATTCGATCGTGGGGCTTTCGCATACATAAGAGCCGAAATAAATGTTGAATATTATGGAATGTTATTGGGGGATACATTTTTTTTGTATTGGATTTAATTGAGATCATTTTTCAATGAATGGTTGTATAAAATATATATTTTATAATTTTATTATGAGCACACTCATTTTCCTTGAAACTCGTTATTTTATAATATATTGTATTTGTGCTAAAGTTTATTTAGATAAAGACTACTACTTGAGTCTCTACTTGAGTATATATTACGAAATTGTATCGTCCTCCATTTCTAATCGACGAAAATTCGATCATATGTTTTTTTTTTCATTTTCTTGTCGATTTTAGAAAATAACTGTTATAATAATATGCTGTATGAGTGAAAATCATTCTATAATTCAATAATATGCAATTTTTATATTTTAATATTAATAGACATATTATTTACTCGATTACACTACAGTTGTTTCTCTGAATTTCCAACGAGTACCTATAACAGGTACGGATCGATATATAATTATTATTATAACAGCAATACGTATACTACGACTCGTGATATGCAGCAAGTCCGAATTTTATATCCGAGAGGATATTAAAAGGCGTGTATCCGAGGAAATATCCATTTTGATATACAATGTTCGCGTACTTATAATAGATACATAATATATATAAAAAGAGTCTCAAAGGGCTTCCTTCCATTTCTGGTAGACGAGCGGGTAGCGGGTTTGGTGGTGGGGTGACGCTCGTGGTGACTTTTAGTCAGAGGAGAGGTTGGAGTGGAGCGGAACATATATATATATAATATACAAGCGCATATATAGGTCGTGTCGATCGTGGCTGTGGCGGGGTGCAAGAGTACATAAAGAGAGTAAACGACCTTTGTTCGTCCCAGGGCCACGAGCACTTTATCAAGCACACAAAACGTGCGGCTCGTGGCAAACGTAAAAGTCTCCACCCCCGCCACCTCGCCGATGTACGACGTTAACGCGCCGGGGTCGTCATCCCCGGCGGGACCGACGCCGCCGTCCACCGGCGCCCGGCTCACACCCCCGTCGTCCCGGCCACCGCGCTGCCGCTGCCGACGCTGCTACAAGGATCGATCACCGGGCGTCTACCCCCGCTTGTGAACCTACCCGCCGTCGTACGATGCCTACATAACGTTTTACCTCACCCACATATATTATAGGTATATATGTTACACCCTTACAGCTTGCGCGACACCGCACTCGATATGATATTATACCCTCGCGCGTACATTGACGTCATCATATGAATCGCCACTCGCACTATATACGTATATGCGCACCATATAGTTTAAAATATACCGCCAGTTCACTTTTATTGTCGCTACACAATATACTTATGTAAGTACAATATAATATTTACTTTTCCTCTTAAATCAAATGTATAAAACGTACGCGTATATACCATAGCTACATATATATATCTATTATATTATTATACACACGCGTATCTGTGGGTGCGGAAATCGAGTGAAATTCCGCCGGCTTGGCGGATTCCGTCGACGCCGCCGCCATTGGCTCATCGCCGCAGTCGCAACTCGCAAAACAAGGTCGTTTTCACTTTTGCTCCCATTTACATATTATGGTATTTTAATGTATATTTTATCATAATTATTACGACCCCGCGACCGGTTTCGTTTTTATTTTTCACGATAAGATATCGACGACGCATATTTGACGGATTCCGCGGGTATCATTATGTTATATATAATAATACAGGATGTGTTGTACACCCCCGCCTAGGTAACATAATGGTGATATTTAGATTCCCTTTTATATATATAATATATTAAATGTTGTTCGTCGTCGGTGGTCGCGACGTCGTTTTCCGGGCACCGGTTGAATGGGCCGGAGCGCGGCGCGGCGGGCGGACGGACCGAAATCAGCTGTTATCGATTGCCGGCGAAAAAACGCCTCGCTCGAAGGGTAGGTACCGATGGCGGCGGGGGGTGGCAGCGGGGTTGGCGGTGGCGTCGGCGACGACGGTTAGGTTAGCACGCCGCGTCTGTCTCCGGTACGTCTGACCCGCGCGCGCGAAAATAGGGCGAGGGCGGAACGCAGCCTTGAGACTAGCGTCTGCCCGCCGTCATCGCCCGCCCGTCCGCTCGTCCACCCTGTGGCACCCGTCTACACACGCGGGCGGCGGGGGGCGTGCGCTCGCTGAAAACTCCCACGCAAAAGTCGTTTCAGTGAAAGTCCGCGGGCCGAGTTATATATATAACTATATATAGATTGTGCCATTGCAGCGGAGATATGCGGGGGTTATTGCGAAACGTCGTTCGCGTATATGACCCAGTCGGCATTTCCGATTTACGACGACGATAGTAATATTATACATAATAACGTCGCAGTTATTATTAACGGCATCGCTGCTGCAGCAAAAGTCGTCAAGCGTGCATATTATTATTATTATTATATATTAATATCGTGTTATTATAACGACAACTATATAGACTGTAATAATATTATAGTTTTATACATCGCACCACGTTTATAGTAATATAGTCGCCAATATAAGTATGAAACTTTTTTCGGAAACATCAATATTATAATGAAGTTAAATCGTTTTTCGGACTTGAGTAGATTAAAATTCGCAATAATAATTTTCAAATACAAATATAAAACCTACTTTGATTATAGCTTTATTTAAAAGACTTGGCACTATACTATAATATGTCTTGCGTCTTTAGCGTCGACCATCTCACGACGTATAATAAATCGAAAATATCTAAATAACGTAACGATGCCGACGACGACGACGACAACGACGACCTGCTTGCTGTTGTACGTATAGTCCTCGCCGTGTCGACGTGTATAAATTATAATATTACACATAGGTGTACGACGGGGCGTTTCTTCTCGTTCGTGTATACATAACGTCCTATCACATAATAATAATATACGAGACAGAGAATTGGGTCAGACGCGCGCACCATAAGGTTTAATTTTTTTGCTGCCGAGTGCCTCTGCACCCCGCGTACGGCCATCGGTCCGCGATCCTTCCTAAAACACCCATGTTATAATAAATTCAAACGTGATGTTTATATCACTGCAGCATTATCGTTATTCGCGTGAACTACTTAGACACCGCGGCCAGGTGGTTATATTATATACAACCTTACGTAACCGCATTGTCAAAAAAAACCAACAAACCTCCATTAAAACAACACGACCGACGTATAATCGACGTGCGCGGATTGTGTCGTGTTGTGGTCCACCGCGTCCCTATCGTCGTCATCGTCGTCGTCGTCGGTGGCGTGTCGCAACAGCATAGTAACCGATCCGTTATTATATAACGTTATCGTCTTTTTAGTACTACAATATTATAAAAGTGTTATTATCTCACCACGGCTGTGCCATGTAATGATTCGTATTATAATAAATTATTATATTGATATACGAGAATACGCCACCGACGGGCGACGACGACTGTCCAGCCTCTTTGAAAGAAAAAAAATGCTTAACTCCAAAATATATCAAGAAATACCTATACTACATTACTACCACACGATAATTTCCATAGATCATCGTCCGGTCACGATGTTTTTCGAATTCACAGTTTCGGTTTTTTTTCCTAATACCTTATATCGGTTACGTAAATCCGAATACAAAATAGATACCTGATAAACGTTACGGTGTGTATAATATTATGTACGACAAAATAATACCCCCGAACAAGATTTATTATTTTGTTTATCGACATTGTGGTCTGCTTCAGAATACCCAAAATCGATATCCTTTTCAACCCCAAGGCCGCGGTGAGACATTTACGAGCATGAGGCCGTAGACCTCAAACCCCAAACGACGGGACCATTATGTTATATTATCTTCGACGATTGTAATATAAAACAAATAGTATATACCGAGATAATAATATATGTGGGTCAAACGCGCATGACAATTGGTCACATCCCTTTTTCTCTCTTATACGTCATATATTATTATATAGTTGTGAACTGTGGTATCCCATAATATGCGTGTATTCTTAAGACTTCTTCTTCAAACACTCGTTTGTTCCGGTCAATTTAACCGCGTTAAGAAAGAATATATTATATTATATTATACACACGTGTTACGACAGTTTAGTGCACAGAGAGAAGAGTTTTAAAAAAAAAAAAACTGTCTACAATAGTGATTTAGCCCCTTACATTATACGTGACCCAATTCCGAGACAACAGTTGGTCACGGGTATTTTTTTTACGGTCGGCCTGTTTCTTTTTCGGGTCTAAGGGCGTTTGACCTAGTTTCGTATTCGTCGTGTACCGCGCGCCGATGGGTCGTCCTCCCGCACGTTTATTTTCGGAGAGAATCAGAATTTTTCTTTCTTTCGTTCTTTTTTTTTTTTTACTCTTCTTTTTTATTCGTTTTTTTTTCATTTTTTTACCCGATGCCAAAACACACGCTGACCCGATTGCCACGAGAAATTGTGTTCGCCCACTGTTATCTGGCATAGGTTTTCCGGTCCCTTTTAGGTGGGGACTATACCGCTACACAATAATAGATACATAATACAATTATATAGCTAAGCCTCCAAGGCTAAGACTCCGGGGAACATAATATAAGTACGCCATGTTACGAGAAAAAAAAACACACACACACAAGCGCACGAACAATGTTTTATATTATATGCGGCAATGGCCGTAATTTTAAAACCGCTTGATGTAATACATAGATAATAATAATATTTAATATTTCGATTTACAGCCAATGTCACGACGACATAAAGGTAAGCTAAACGAAAAATTAATAATAATAAAAAAAAAATACTCTGAAAAACAAAAAGTACAACATAGCTTCGATTTCCGACGCCGGTGGTTAAATATTCTATACATAGATATATAATAGGATTTAATATTATAATGACGTATATATACTATTATACTCGATAAAATACGTGCCAGTGGAGCGGACGAAATGTGCGCGTTGTGCGAGTTATAAACATTGAAAGTGGATTCGTTTTCAAAACGACCGCCTTGTGCGGTGTCGGTGTGTGTGTGTGTGTGTGTGTGTGTCTACTCAATACTGTATAAGTGTATACATATATAGAGGTATACCGGAACAAACGCGAAATTCGACGTCGTCACTTTCTTTGTTCCGGATCGTATATACGGGGCGACCGAAAAAAAAAATCGTCAGCGATCTAATTTTCACCATCGGTAATAATAATAATATAGGTAATCACGGTCGATCGAGTTATTATAATATATAGTATACACCGAGTGGGGGGATCTTTATCGTCTGTTCGTAAACAATCGATACCATATATATATATTATTATATTGTTGTGTACATATAATAATTGCTTGTTAAGCGCTATATAATAAAACGTATATTCGACGGTAGTGTAGTACTATATATCAGTATTAAAATAAGTTGGCTCTTGCGTTTGCGGGGGAGACGTGTCTTTTGGGAAACAGGTGAAAATGTGGGTCAAGGAAACGATGTGGCAACCGTGTGGCGGTGGCGGCGGCGCCTCAACCCACTTTCCCTTCCGGTGCCGTATCTGCCGGTCAATTATTCCCCCTCGTGTCGGCGGCCTCACCGCGAGTGGTGACCATCCATCCCAACCATAAATCCTGGCGGTACGGTGGGTGAGGGTCGCTACGGTGCCAGGACCTAAGTGTCTGTGATAATATATAGTATGACGTCGGTGAGGGCAGCGTTGTCTATGAATATATTATTTTTATCGAGTCGAATTCGATTTTATATTTTATTAATCGAGAAACCTCATCACAGAATCGATGCAATACAAATACGTTATTAGTCATATTATAATATTCGAATAAAATTACGGGTTTACGAAAAACGTTGATTACAACTATACAAACAAGAGAAGCTAGAACAAACATTAAGTCTGTCGCTCAAACTGCACAATAAATATAATTATTATGTTATCGCCAATACGTGCTGTGGCCGATCTGAATAAATGTCATCCTCGTAGTATATCATAGCTAATCACCCCGTAGCATTCATCATTCCTCATAATACCCTTTGATTGCATATATATATATTATAATAATAATAATAGCATACATATGTACTATAATAATAATTATGCATGCGCACGTTTGTAGTACCTAACGCAAATGTTCTTTTGTCGTTGCAGGTAATGAAAAGGACGAGAACATCGACTTCCTGGATCACCTCAGGATCGCCGGCAACGGCGGTGTAGGAAACCCGGGAGCGGCAGACCATCTGCCTCCCAGGCAACAGTTGTCGTTCGCCCTGCCGCACGGATTCCATCATGCTGGTGAGTTTTCGATAGTCACAATTTAATATTGTAACAACGATCATTATCTTGTAAATAAAATATTAATACAAAATATGTAGGTCACACGGGGTATTATAGCCGTGTAGGCACACTATTACACGGTTTAATATAAATATAGGTATAATATTATTATTGTATACATCGTTTACGAGTGTGCTGCCGAAATCAAAACTGGTACCCACAGCGGCGTCAAATCTCATAAACTATTACGTAGCGTCGCGTCTATATCACAATAATATGATTCACGATCTCGGCGGGCCGAGTGTTCGCATAATGTTATACAGCATTATTACGATTTCGTTTCGTCAAAACAACGCGCTGCTGTGTCGTCACGACGTCTCGTCGTCGTGACCTAAATCTGCCAGGCAAAGAGCGTGCACACCTATAATAATAAATAAATGCATACGTTTAAGCAATATAATATATATACCCCTTCGACCAGTGACTTTCTATTGTTTACACCGTGGCGGTGGCGACGTATCCTGACTCTCGCGCATAACATTATATCTATTTATATTCTATATGTATATATAGGCACGACGCGAGACCGGAAGAGCCGGTTCGAAGAAAGTCCGTTTTCACTTTGCGATTTGGAAGTTTCCGGTACATATGTACAATGTACATCGACGCGATCTTTTGCCACCGGGTTTTTTTTCGGAGCGTTAAACCCGCGACCGCGGAAATTATAATATATTCTAATATGAACTTGTTTGCGTTATTAGGAGGTACCTACCTATTATAGATAAGTACCCATATTTTATTCGTTTGGTCGATCGACATTAAGATTTCATTCGGACAGATTATTTTGATATACGCGTAAGTACGCACTCATCAATATTCAATGTTGCAATAATAGTATAATATATAATAATATGATCTTTGTCCGCTTTTGTCGAATTATATTGTATTATAATTTATCATAATATATTTCTATTGTCCTGCGGACGGCATTATAATATTTTATCAGAACAATTTCCATCGGCACTTCATCATGATTTGATAATATAAAATGTTTAATTTATAATAATATTAAACGTATGTGTGTCAAACGTCACGTTCAATATAGAATATAACGCGTTTATACAGCCAATTATATACTCGAGTCCTTGAAACCCAAGACACCACGATTCGTATAATATATGATTTTCTCGCCAAATAGTTTCGTAAAAATAAAATTTCACTTTTGCATCGTGTATTTTTAACGAATATTATGACAACGTGCAATGACTAAAACACAGGCGTTTAACACCGATTTCCTCGACCCCGTCGACCGTATATTTATACACGGTAGGTATATCGGAAAAAAGGTTATCATTAAATTCGGTTCCCATCTGCGCGCTCCCGGGAAAACAATACTTTAAACCTCTACAACTCCCGACCACAGCGGTATAATATTCACGGTTTCGACGGAAATCACCTCGTATGTATGTATGTGTATATATGTATTAATATTATTATTTCCATTATTCACGGGGCCGATAGAAAATCGTCTTCAGCGGCACACACCCCTGCCGCACGTAACGGCGATTATCGTGTTTGCAGCCTACAATAAAAAATTCCGAGCACTGGTCATTCCTTGGGAATCGTCGGTTATATATTACAATATCGTATGGGTACATTATTATATATTTCGCGCGGCGGTCAAACCCGTTCGACCGCTGGACGATGGTCAATATCGATGAGGGATACGGCGGCCAACCCGTGATATATATCGTTTCTTCGCTACCCCCACTGCCCTGGTCAGCGGACCATGTTTTGGTACACGATGTGGACATCATCGGACACGACCGGTATAATAATATATTATTATATAGGTATACACCCCGGAAACCGGTTCTCCTCCCCCTGATCATTGTCCGGCCGCGGAGCTCATAAAGTGCGACAAAGTTTGCGTGTAAAATATGCGATTAAATTATAAATGTGTTTGTGATGTGTGTATATACGGCGCAGATCGCAAACACCTGGACGACGAATAAAATTATTTTTGATTTCGATTCAATGCGAGACATGCTGTTTTATAAAGTATGCGGTGCTTAGAGTAAAAAAAATATATCGTCTAATATTACACTTACCTATATAGACAATCGAAAAGGATTTATAATTCCGAGTGTGTGTAATTTACTGTAATCACAACATTCCGAACGATTATTATTATACAATCATAATAATATAACAATTCAAACGGTCTGCAGCAATATTCCAACCAATATAAATTATAGGTACATAAAAAGTATAACGGTCATAACTTCTAGAAAAACGCTAAATTACTATTAAACTATACAATATTATTTTCGTAAATTTTTCTGTTTCCCGCGGTATGGCATTTTATATATCTAAGCATTATCGTAGAATAGGAAAGCTCTTATAAAATATTATATTGTAGGTACTAAAAACGCAATTATTGTCTTGGAAGATTTCTTCCAAACCCCCGTGCCATAGTTGTTCACGGTTGCCATACCTATACGAATAATATGCACATCGGTCAGTTTGATATTCGGTTGCGACCTTTGACATAACGGACATACAAAATAATAAATTACTACCGATTTATTTCCCGTCGTTCAGCTGTTGGTAAAAAAAAAAAATCGGTTTTATAGGTATAGGTTTATGGGAAAGGTCATCGGTCTCCCCTTATGCGTATATATGTAGATAACCGATGGTCAGTCGCCGCCGACTGACCATCGGTACCAGCGCGAAAAACAGGTTCCTATTATAATCCCTTAGGATTGATATATTCAACGACCTCGGAGAATCGGCTTTTTTTTCTTTATCCTACAAGGCGAATAGTCGGCGAGAAACACGTTAAACGGAAAAAAAAAACCATAAAATCGTGTCATTGTCGCCGTAAAGACGCCGGAGTAAAACAATATACCCCCCGGAATCGGAAACCACATTATGTATATTATGTATAGGTATAACGTTATTAAGTCAATAAATTGTAGAGCCGATCTGGGTCGACAAAATATAATATATCGTATAGGCGCTCGGGAAAAAAAGAACCTCTAAATTGTCAATGAAAAATCCTTTAGACATTGGAGATTCAAACGGAAAAAAATTCGATCTCAACAGTTATATTTATTTTATGTGCACGAAAATGAACGACGTCACACTATTATTAGGTATTGTACGTGTCGCATTTCAAAACACTTCATTACATTCGGTTTTAAAAAAGTATATGCTCAGTGTCTTAATAAACTCTGCGAGTATAGTTATAAACTCGCTTGGTTGATTTTATATTATACATCATATAAATTCAAGAAACTGCAAACAGCATAACGTGTACATAGCATATATACGGTTGTGGGCGTATTACCGGAACCGGATGTCCGTTGAAATTAAAGAACATTTATTACATTATATAACGACCTACGTACCTGCAGCAGTATATAAACTCTTTAAAACGGTTTATGTACCTCAAGTTCTATGTACACCTACGACTTGTACGAAAACTATTATCTATTTAGAACTTAGTATATAGACGTATAGTTTACTAAGTAAACTTTACTCATTCATTATTACTATAATATTATCTAGGATAACTTAGTAGGTCCTGTAAAAGTAACAAAAACTAACAGTCAAATTTTAATAGTTTTCAGTTTCAACAGTTTATTTAAAATCATACTAATATAATAAAGATACCAGACTGTATTAAACTATCATGATTAATTATGATATTCTCGAATTCGCTCATGGTTTTATTTTTTCGTTATCGTATAGTAAATATAATAATATTTAAACTTCAATTACAGGCAGTCTACAAAATATCCGAACGCGATGTAAACTACAATAAATATAAATATAAAAAGAATTATAATATACATAATACATTATGTAGGTATACCTACACACGTTTTTCACATTTTATTAGTTTTTAATGTCAAATTTAAATTTAAAACCGCAAACCGTACCAACATATTCTATAATATGTTTCGAGGTTCATATTTTATCGTCGTGCGGTTTTTAACGTTTTTCAAAAATAAACGGATACGTCTGCTCGATCTTAGCTAGCATAATATATTAAAATGGATACCTATACTAAATATTTTATATAGGTACCTATAAAATAAGAAACACATACGGTTACAATAATTTAAGAACATAATATTATAACAAATTTAACGTCGTCGGTCTAGTAAGCCGAAATGTATTATTTATATTGCAACTAAATTGCACGGCGATAAAAATCTGTCCACGTCCCACAAACATACAACTACAATGTCGTCGTCGTCGTCATTGCGGTCGTCGCGCACAACTACCCATCGTGACGTAATACTCAGCAGGACGAACCGCGGGGGCTGCGCAAGCACATCCGCAAGTTTTTTTGTTTTTCTATTCGTTCTTCTTTAATTTATAGGTCATGTTTGTTCGCTAACTATTTATATAATTTTTTTTTTTATTGTTTACACCGCGTGTTTCCTGTCGGCGGTCGCGAAAAACTCGTCGTCTACAACTATCCGTCGTTAATAATAATAATAATAATAATATTATTAATAACCGCTTTTCGGTGACGGTGGTGGTGCTCTACCCTCGCGTATTGGATTTCCGACGAAAACATCAGAATTATGGAAACATCTGTGTGTTTACGTGCACGCGCATTGTCCACGAAGTTGTTTTCGCAATACGCGCGCGCCAAACCCTTTCGTCGCAACCGTACATAAATACAAATAATAAAGCCGCAGCAGCAGCAGGCGTCGGTCCCATTGAAATTGCGCAAAGAGCGACACGCGCCACCGGTTTCCACAAAAGTGTCAAAAACCCTATACGCCGAACGATATAAAACCCTTTTATATATTATAACATCGCCGCTACAGTGTATTATATTATGAACGCAATAATTGCGTCGTATAAACGATGACGGCCGGCTAACCCTTTGCGCGAAAAAAGGGTGGAAATGCCCCAAAAATCACACCGACCGCGTATAATGTGACGGTGGCTGCGAGTGCATTGCGGGGACGATGAGAGGGACTGCTGCTGCAGGTGAACCCTATGATCGTTGCCGTCGTTCAGCTGTATATATAAAACGCACGCGATTGCACAACGACCCGCGCAGATGAGGATGTGCTCGCACGACGACAACAAAGGGAAGAACCTACGTCACCCTTTTTGGGTCGAAATTCCGCGTTTTCAGCACAAAAAAAAAGTATAATAATAATATTATATTATACATAATGTCTTTAACGCGACAAAAAAAAAAATTTAATCGGAAAAAAGGAAAAAAAAGAGTTGTACGCACATTACAGCAGCAGCAGCAGCTGCTCCACAGGGTACGTTTCCCTCTCGGTCCCTTAAATAGGTATACACCGCTTATATTCGATATTATATTATTATTGTTATTATTATAATCCCGTGGATTACGCCTTTTCGCGCGGTCCGTCGATGAGTTATTATATCGTTTCCCGGGGACGATATTATATTATATAATTTTTTTTCGCTTTTCGGAATGCTCTCCGCCATTTCAGAGTAAAGTCGAAAGACTCGTGTAAAACCGAGGAAAAAACCGGCGCGCGATGTAGAGAAACTCCCAAGGTCTTGGCGTGGGGTCAGTGAATTTATACGCTCGCCGAACCGGTTTCGCCGTCGTCGACGTCGTCAAACTCTCCTGGAACGGCGAAGACCTGCGCGGGCCAGAAGAAGAGGCGTCGTACCTATAGGAAACGTATTATACTGTGGTAGTGGTCGTCGTCGTCATAGTCATAGCAGTCGTCATCCGGCTGCTTCTTCCTGCTTTTGTCCGTAACGGTCGCGGCGGCCGCCGCCGTTTCCTATACAATATAAAACACTCGCGCTGAATAATTATTATACTTAACATATCAACAATGTCGTCACGGTTCGCACCAACGCCGTATAAGACTGATAAATAGCCTCTTCTCGGACGTATCATGAAATTACAATATTATACTGTACTAATATAATAATGATATACGGTGTACGCGGATATAGAGAGGAATACAAAATATAGAAGGGACGCGTAATCATTGTCCGTCATCGTCCGTCGTCCGGGGGACCGACTCCTGGACACGATGACTAATGGCGATGACCACCGCGTGTGATCTACACCTGTATCGCCGACGTGACATTTGCATGGGACCCGGCCGATCCGAGGTCTAGCCAGTCGACGACGATGCCCGTCAATCCGCCGCAGTGATTAATGGATCTATTTCGCGCGTTTAATCGGCCGAAACCCGTTTTCGACTATAGTCTGTTCATTTTAAGAAGCGATTCAGCGGCCACTAGTAAAACCGGTTTTCAAGCGTAAATCAGGTCGCTTCTTATTTTGAACAGGGTATAGTCCTAACTTTTTTCTTTCTATAATATATTATCGTTTACACCCAACGGTCATAACTGACGCGTGTATTATTATAATAATATATTATAATTTATAATATTATACTATAATAGGTATTAGGTATGCTGTTATATTATAGGGACTCTCCGCCGCCGTCGTGTCTCTTAAATGTTTTCTCGAACAGACGTTTCCTTCCCGGACGCGTTTCTCACGAACACCACATAGGTGCAATACTATATTATACCACATTATATAGTACCAAATTGTTGTAGAGTTTTTAATCTGTTTGGACATTTCCACTACACCTTTCTACTAAGTTGGCATATTTGTAAATGGGATCCGCCACAGGACACTCCTCAATGTTACACAACAAATCCAAGCATTTACCAAATTTGAGAAATATTCTTATAGCATATCTACTCGCCCCGGCCCCAGTCACCACACAAACGAACACAATAATAGCAATAATAATATTTATAATATATCTACAATATGGTGCGTAAAACTACACGCCATGTCGTCATGTTATTATTATTATTATCTTTATACTTTATAAGGCCGTTGACTCGTTAAAATATTGCTATGTCGTCGAAAAATTAAAATTGTTCAATATATATTTGCGTTAAAACCACACTATAGTATACTATTTTATATTTATATATATAATACACAATATATTATATTACGTAACGTGTGCATATCCGATTGTTTACAAAAAAAACCTCGTGTTCTATCTCTGTCGAGGGAAAATACTGAACTCAAATAGCAAAAAAAAAAAAAATAATAATAATAATAAAACATCGTCGGAAATAAGCGGTGAACCAGATATCGCTGACGTATATAGTCATACATTCGCAAAATGTGTTTATTATGTCGTGTATAATAATATACGGAAAATTCTCCTTTAGTAGCGTTTCGTAACGCCGTGAGATTTGTACGACACTTTGCTTAGCGCACAAATGTACGTGGTCGACCCGTGCCGTAAACGGCCGAAAATAACAACCGATTGCAATATAAATCTTAAAACTACCCATACCGCAACTCACAAAAAAATTATGAATATAATTTATACTATTAAATCTTAGTATACCTATAACGATATGTATTAGGTATGCGTACGTTAAATATGTGTGCAGTGACACGCGCCAAATATTGTATATTAGGTTATAACAATAAATTACGTTACGTGTTGGTATTATACACACACGTGTTGATTAAATATTATCACGCCGCGTGTTGACAATAAATCGTGGATTTAATCTGCTGGTCGACGATAACCCCAGGAACCCGACGTCACCGTCGTGTAAAACTGTAAAACAAAATTATGATATTATTTTACTCGAAAACCTACAGCGAGCTACCAGTTACCACGGCGGGGCGGTCACATTTTTTCAACAGTAAATAATATTGTTGTGGCATATTATTATTATTAAAGTAAGAATTGTCAAACATTTTATGATTACGATGCGAATCCGACGGTCGCAGCAGGTTATAATATAGGTACAAAGTCTTGTATTGCAGTTTGCCGCCTACACGTTTTGAATTTATAACTTCCCGACCTAACTCAACCCGACCGCGACCACTATTGTATATTATCAGTATTATATTATTAAATGTATATGGTATTCCGAGTATTCGTAATACATATTATATTAAGTAAGGTGGGCAAGTTTTCGAAAAAACTCAAGTTGAGTAAGTGAAAAAAGAATAGAACTCGTTAAGTTTAAAAATGAATAATATATCACTTTTTTATTTATAAAAGTCATGTTAACAGTCATTTAATGTACCTATAGCAAATAAATTAAATAGACAACTAACCAACTTACTTGTTGCAAAATTAATAACTTTTTAACTAGTTAAAACCCACCTTAGTAGAAATAGAATATAATATATAGGTACTTGCGGGCACTCGTAACATACATGTACAACATTTACATAGTATATTGTGTACGGTATTATAAATTTTATTGTAAAAAACCCGTGTGCACCTCGTTGTTTGAACGCGCTATGTATAATATATTATTATAAATTGTGTGTGTATAGTGTATAATATCTGAACGTGTTTTTTCGTTTCGTTTCAGGCTCTCTTCCGCCCAGCCCCGCGGACTCCGGTGTGTCCGACGTGGACAGCAGCAGCAGCGGGCACACGTCCACCGACACGGAGCTCAGGGCTCGGCTCCAACCGCACCAGTATCACCACCAAGGTCAGATTATGTTCACAATAATATCCGACTATATTATTACTATATTACAGTTTTTCCTCTTCCTCGTCCTCCGCATCTACTGCGATAATGCTATTATAATAATGTCCATAAAACACAATATTTTATAATATTGCACTAACCTAACCTTTCCAACTCTCGTTCCCAATCTTTAAACTCTAAACATTTATCTATATTTCCACCTTATAGTTGTTTACTTCACTAGATTATAGCTTTATCATAATATTGTGTTAACGATATGAGATTAATGTTTTTGGGTCTTTGGCTTTGTTTCATCGCTGTTTTTTGTGCACCGTATCAGTCTCTTCTTGCGGCCGCCGTACCAGTCCGGACCCGCCGAGCAATGCACAATGTCACCAGCAGCAACAACAGCAGCAGCAACAACAACAACAACAACAACAACAACAACAGCAGCAGCAGCAACAACAACAGCAACAACAGCAGCAACAGGACTTGTTCTCCAGGATATACGGGGTGAACGCACCGCCACCCGGAGCTTACCATCATCCCGGTCCCGCTCCTCCGTCGCCCAAACATCCTCTTTTCATGCGAAACAACCGTAAGTGTTATCAATTTTATAGGCATAATTACATTTCACAGGCACTTTATTATTCTAGTTTGTTTGTATTTGATAAAATTATCTTACAAAAGAAAAAAACCCGTCTAAGATAAAACGATGACTGTAATTACAGAAATCGGGTTAATTTAAATTGTTATGCTAAATACACATGAAATATGTTCCTCGAAATCAATAAAAAGTAAAAGAAAAAGATTACGCGAAATGACTCATTCTATAAAATGTTTTTACTATTTCCTTTTGTCTCTTACGGTCTCTCTATCTCGCCGTCCGTGTGTTTCTTGTGGGTACTATTATAGCCGTTCGTGAACATTGCAGGAAACGATGACAATCTGTGCTCACTGGAAGAGACGGTGGAGGAGAGAGAAGGTTGTAAATTTATTGGTCGTGCGGTTGGTCAGTAATAGCCGTTTTGGCGCAAGTCACCCGCTCTCGGTGTGTGTGTGTGTGCTGTGTGTGCAAGTTGAAACAATATAATAAATATGTATAAAAAAAAATCTGAGATGAAAACGAGTTTACACTCAGCAGTGTTGCCACTTGCCAATGTGGCGTGGCCTCAGGACGATTGGTGGTTTTTTTATTTCGTTTTCTAGCGATTTGCGGAAAGGGAGAACCAGCGCTGTGCGGTGGTCACGTGACCGCTTCGGCGCGGATGCATGTGAGTTCGCAGAGGGAGAGAGAGAGAGACAGACACACACATAGACGGACCACGGACGTCGGACCGAGTGCAGAGGTGGATATTATGTACCTATATACACAAACGACCGAGAGTGAGAGAGTATAATAATATATATATTACAAAAACCTAACGATATGCAGATGTGAGCGAGACGGACTCGCGGACGCGTAAGAGGAGAGGAAAACGACCGAGTGAGCGAGAGAGAGAGAGCAATGACATACTAACACTTCAAGGTTAACTCTCACTCGTGCACACACTATAATAATAATTCCACATACATGCATTATCATACTTGGAGATGGATATCGAATACACTATGGCTAAATATATAGAATAAATAATGATCCATCCTGATTTTCGTAGATCGTGAAATGGTTGTGATATGCGATCGCCTCCCGTGACCTTTCACCGCATCAATGTAGCTCACGTCTATTATTTTTTTAATTTACTATGTTTATAAAAATAATATAATAATCATATCATATTATTATTATCGTTTCCGCGGCTTTATCAGCTCGCTCGACCGATTTCGCGATCGCCCGCCGCAATGATTTATATTATCATTCGCATAAAACCGTATTGTAGGTAGATAGGTACGCTGAACGGGCGTGTTTGTCGAAAATAATGTGATTAATAAATCATTATACGCGTTTATATCGCGACGTGCGCGCTCTCGTTTCGAGATAACATGAAGCGCCGCGTGCAATTATATAATAATATTGTAGAGTTATCGCATTCAGGAAGTGTACAACACGTAAACACGGCACGATGATAATATTAAATATTAATAATAATAATAATAATAATATAACCGACGGCCGACGCCACTGCAGAGTAAAGATTGCAGACGTTGGCGAGTGGCTTATAATTTTGTTTTTTTTTTCACCTTATTTATTATTCGTCGTCGTGGGGCACAATAGGAGCGACGCGGTGGCGGCAGAGAATACTTAGATAAAAAGACACACGTCGTGTGCTTATAACTATTATGATGAAATGAAAAAAATAAATTATTAATACTCATTAATGCGCACATTAAACTCGTGTACACGCATTACTTTTAATACAGGTACTTTGTCTACTCGTAAACTCGGGCGTTCATTTGGCTAGAGTACGAATTTTCGCCAAAATAATATTATTAATTTAGGCACAACGACATGTTGTTATTCAAAAAACGCGCGAGCGAACGTTCGCCTCCCCCCCCCCTTCGTCACCGTTGCGTAACGCTCCGCCACTCGTCGAGAACCCATCGGTCACGTGGTCGACGCTGCCGCCGTCGACCTTCGACGATGCTTCACGGGAGTCGTCGTCATCGTCGTCTCACACGCGCAAATTCCGTTCCATTCGATAGCGATTTTTATTTTTATACTCGAAACGACTTCCGCGTTCGTCGCCGAGTGTTCTCGGGTAATTTTTTTTATTCCTTCTTCACGTAGTAATACACTATAGGTAACTATATGAAATAATAAAATCGTAAGCCCGCGCGCCACTCCTCTCCTCCGCGAAATCCATTATTTTTCTCTCACACCAAACGATACCTATGAAATACAATATTTAATATATTATATTATCGAGTACCATCGACAATTGTTCGAGTACAATTATACTAATACTTATAGTTGTGACGATAAAACCAGGAAGTATAATATAATATATTATTATTTTATATTGTGATTCGGCTTGTCCGTCGAAAACGTTAAATAAACGCTGTCGAGATCGACTACACCTACTCCAAAGACATTTTTTATTTTTAGACGAACAACGCTTTTCCTTTATCGCGTCCGATACGTATTAAATAAATGTATAGTATAAGCAATTTCGGTTTCTTCCAGTACACTGTATAATACGAGTGAATGGCTCACTGATGGCAATACTATTGTTATGATTGGCACCAATATTATAATTAAATTTTAAATTAATTCAAAGATAAGTACTAATTGCAAACATTAATAAAATTACAATACGATATTTCATTTTGATTACTTTTTTCAATCGTACTGCTTGTGTCCGATGGTAGGGAGATAAACTACAACATTTGGACATCTAATGATTATTTAATAGTATTTTATATAATAGTGTCTATATGGATAATTCCAATAAATCGACGAATAATACATAACATAATATAAAACCTTATTATATATTCAGCAGCGATCAGATTTTAGTGATATTTTTTTTGCATTTTTTAGTTTTCGGAAATAGATATTGTACAGAATAAACTATTATAGTCGGACCATAACGTAAAGCGACTTTTCGCTGGGGACAATGCACACAAATCGCCGCGCGGTAGGCCCCGGCACAGCTGCGGCGGCCATCCGATTCAAGCGGAATGCGAATAACGGCGTCGGGGGCCGGGCTCGCGCTTAGGTCTGAAAATAGCACTCCGCGAGCCACAGGCGGATGGATTTAGCGACGGCAGCTGCAGCAGCCATCATACATTATGCATGCGCGCGCGGTGGGCGCGAAACGCGGAAATCGCGGACGCCACGCGCGCGCAAGTCGATTGGTTTTCGTTCCCGGAAAGACGATACCGACGGTACATTATTATTGTTATACAGGGCGTTCCACAAACAATGAACAGATAATACCGAATATTTATACGTTTTTGTCAGTGTTCGAGATATTATTTCAAAAATTAGGTACATGCCGTCATGATACTCAAAAATATACTCTCATGATACTCAATGATACTCTCACAAATCTTATATACTTGGAGATTTGATTGGAATTCGTGGTGGGGGGAGGTTAAAATATTCCCAAACAAAATGAGCAGATTTATGATGTATGAAGAAAAATTAGAGAAGCACCCTCTCCCCACCAATCACCGCCTAATCACCCACCACCGCACACGAACGATATCGATACGGTATTCGAATATTCCTGTCAGACTCGTCGCAATGGCAGAATGAAAACAAAGTAATAACTGATAAAGTTTATTACTTCCGCAGTTTTTCCATTTGAAAATTTAAACGACCAAAGTCAGTGTTCGTTCTTTCATTCCGCTTGTAATCAGCTGTATGATCAATTCGATCGTAGGTAGAGGTACCTAACCTATCGTCTTAACAATCATTCCCCACATTTCCTCTTCCACGTAACACGTGATTCGGTTTTTCGCGATATGTTATTAGTTGCACACTTGCACGTACGAAAACACTGCACTGTGGCGTGCACACACACACGTCCGTGATCGCGACGGGTGTGACGTATACCAATGGCTCACGTGTGTGTTAGAAAGAGAGATTGCAATTGAGAGAAGGATAGGTCGATCAAGTTCAAGGTGAACGAAAAAAATACACTTATACATATCGTCTGGGTTTCGACACCGGTTCGTCCGCCGCCGCGATGGTCGTCGAGGACATGGCGCGGGGAAGCGCCGCAGCCACGTTTATAACATATATAGATATTATAAGCCTATACGATCTGCCGTTTTAATCGTCCGTGTAATAATATAAAATTATTATTTGTGACGTGCACACGATGTGTGGCGTAACAAGTACAAAAAGTTACGACTAATAAACATTTTTCGTATACTCGTGAACATATTATATTTATTTTTGAAACTGGTCCGCGGGTAAGCCTCTCTCGTCCGGTCGGACCGCGGTACGATATTCGATGGAAAAAAAATTGAAAACCCCGACCGGAAGAAACGGAAATCCGTTTACGGAACGGCGGCGGAACAATATTATATTATTAATACGCCGCCCGGACGCATATTACAATGTGTATACCTATATAGAAGAGGAAATAGAAGACGTTTATTATAATATAATATTAATAATATTTTAATCTCATTTTGAATGAGAAACTGCGTCGTCGTCGGTCGTTCCCACAACGGTTTCCTGCTCTCTACTTACTGCGTGCGTGGCTCATGTGTTTATAATACCTATATATTATAATGAGATTGCGAAACGCTTCGTTTATAATATTATATACACGTCACATTGTGTTGCACACACTAGCCGAAATGCGTGTCCAAACCATTGTAACATCACCGTGATGCGCGCACTTCTGATTTCAGGAACTTTCGAAATTGTCGCTTTTCCCGGACTCTGTCGATCGAAAAATCAAAATGACAGCGATAAATTTCTATTGGCGAGCTGCTCCGGCTTGATGACAGCGATCTGTATATTATTATAGCCACCACTGCAGTGTACGTCTTGTGTGTAGCGTCCGTCCGTCTCCTTTTAAGGACGTCTCGTGAGCAAAACCGGGAAAAATGTGTGCGAGCGACGTCATTACATTATATATATTATATGCCGGCTGTCTGTTTAAAATAATAATAACGAGTAATGAAGTACTAACTATACCTACATCGTGTGCACGGCAACCGTATTTGTTTTATGTTCGGAATGTTTAGAAACTGTTATCGGGAGGTGTAACGTGTGAACGCGGGTGAAACATTATTTAATAAACGTTAGCAATACAATACTATTCGTATATAACAGTTATATAACTCGAACAGTTGGATTATTATACATTATCTGATGGTTGGATACGAGTAGAACTGAATATACCTAATACCTATACATAGAGATAGACTTTATTTATGCAGATTGTTTTACTGCTTCCGCCGTCCCAATATTATATAGGTAGTAATAAAACCAAGGTCGGGAACACTGCGCCACGAAAATCGAAAATCTAGGTATTTTTTTTCGTCACTTCTCGTTAATTTTAATACTAGTACGTACCTACACAACCGGACCAGCTTTCCGTCTGCGACCGCGTGCTGCAATGCAACACGCGCACTTGTTTTTCATGTACCTACGCCCTTGAAACGACCGCTAAATATACACGTCTATAATATCATGATATTATAATATGTTGAAAATAATAAATAATATAATATAATTATTTAAACTCGAGAAACTATATTTTATCAATTAATGATGTATATTATCATGGTACTTAAAATTATATGTTATTACTTATTATATGTTATTTTTACTAACGTATTTTTGTTTTTTTTTTTGTATCCGCAGATCCTTACGGAGGTGGCGTTGCCGGTTACCACCCGTCAGCCGTCGGCGGCTACGGCTCGGCGGTCAGTCCCACATCGGGCGGCCACTTCGCCATGCCACCGTGCCCACCTGTGGCCGCTCTCCCGGGCGCCGGCACCGTGGTCGGTCGCGGGTCCGTCATCCAGGCGGCCGCGGCCAATTGTTACCAACCCAACGGCGCCGGGGCGGCCAACCTCAACGACCTGTACTACATGGACTTTGGCGTGCCCACCGCGGCCGCGGCCATGTACCACCAGAAGGCGGTCGGAAACAAGAGCGGCGGCAACAAAAAGCCCAAGAAGTACGGCGCCGTCGGGCGGCCGTCTGTGGCCGGTTCCCCGGGAGCCGTCCAACAGCAGACCTGTCCGGCCACGGGACCCAAGAGGAAAAGCCGAGAAGGTAAAGAAATTTTTTTCGTAATTTTACCGATGTGCAAAATAAATGGAGCATTTATCGTGATTTATGGGTTATTAATGTTATATTATAATATGACGTATACTAACGGTGTTCGTTTTTTTCGTTTACTGCAGGTTCCACGACGTACCTTTGGGAATTTTTGTTGAAACTGTTGCAAAACTCCGACTACTGCCCGAGGTTCATCAAATGGTTGAACCGGGAAAAGGGCGTTTTCAAGTTGGTTGACTCCAAAGCGGTGTCCAAGCTCTGGGGAGAGCATAAGAACAAACCAGACATGAACTATGAGACGATGGGACGTGCTCTCAGGTACGAATTTATGTCATCATAATATTATATTATTATTGTTTATGATATTACGGTGTACATCAAAAACGGTTCGAACACAATAACGATAATGATAATAATAATAATAGTAATAACTAATAACTATAATAGAAAACTGACGATTATGCGCCAACTGAAAAAGTTTTTATGGCGTTTAATTCATCAACGAATAAGCGTGCCACATTTTTTTTACCTCAAAAATACATCTTCGAATAAAAATGGATACCAATTTGTATCGATAGTACGTTTTTTCGCGTCCGACCGTTCAGATTGTGATGAAACAACCTCTTTTGCAAAAGTAGGTTAGGCTGCGCGCATGGCCGGTTGGGTGGAACAGACGCCAAATGTTTTTCATACTAAGAATATTAATGGCATTTTTAACACATAAAAACTTCTGTCTTAAAAATATTATCAGAGTAATAGCCACTTATGCTGTATTATATGTATGATGGTATATGTTATACTTATATTCGTTCCCACTCGCCGGCGGTATTAGTCTGATATTATATCGGTACCTATACTGCCGCACGTGCACGACGTGCAACGTTCGTATACATCAGTAACGATCGGTGTATAATAAATAATAACATTATAAAACATAACTTTATACATTATACGTATGTGTAGCTGCATCGCTATACCGCCTTTATTACCTATATGATGTGTAATAATATCGATCTATCGATTAATTCGCTTTCGACGACCAGACATTGTTTGTAAACACCGTTGCGTTTATATACGACGGTCTGCTGCTGCAGATAACGTCATAACACTCATAATATTATAATAATGTTCCTTATTAATTTATGCAGCAGCCAACAAAAACGCTTATAATGTAATGTTGTACGTTATAATATTATTATGTTCGTTACGAATAAATTGATTTTATTTTATCGAAATATACATTATTATACGTTATCGGTTCGATTTTGAGTTTATTTTTTTTAATTAACTCCGCCATAACGTCGGCATAATATCTTGTGTGTAGTGTTAATTGCACCAGTCGAACCCGTATGTAATATAACAGTGAACTATAATACTCGAGTTACATAGGTTCCAAAGTCCTCGCGTTTCCGGACTGATACTTAAAAATATGTGCGTTTAGGAACTTCACTCACATATCGAGTAACGCCGTCGATTTCCGTTCGACCTTTGACTACAATGTTCATCTTAAGTGTCACCGTGCGGAATAGAGTTTACTTATGATTTACTGGAGAAAAGCAGCAAATGCAATGAGCCCATGTCGAAGTGTGGTGCCCACGCCCCCACCTCATCAAGTCGATCTTATACCTACTTTTAAGAATATGATACCTATTCATCTTTCATATCGCAAACTTTGAACTAACGTTGTCTCGTGTGCTCGAAACAAAAAACTGTCCTATTAATGACATAAAAGTTTCCCAAATACGCAAAAGCATATTACACGACTCACGAATCAAAACCGTTTGGATGACTCGTGAGACTGTAGAAACGAATTATACTGTGTATATCATTATAATTTTCCCGATACTGTTAATGTCCGCATCATAACCGTTGGGTTGTTTTGTTTGGTCACAGGTATTAACTACCAAGGGGAATTCTGGCCAAAGTTGACGGCCAGAGGCTGGTGTACCAGGTTTGTCGACGTCCCAAAAGACATCGTCGAGATCGATTGTTCCGGCGCATGAGGATTGTGCGCAAACCCGAAAACGACCAAAGACCTCGTGATTATAATATATAACTATAATATTATATATGATATTGTCATCTTCATCATCGCAGTTGCTATTTTATAATTTATTCTTACCACCCCGGGTGCAGAATCGTCGTCGCCAGTCAGTCGTCATAATATTATTATTATTTTTATTATTTTTATTATTAGGTAATGTAATTATCATTACTGTACGCAGGTGAGATTTGACCTGCGTATGTTGTGTATAACATATTGTATATAAGAAGAATGTATGTGCGTGCATGTGTTATTATATATATAAATTATATTAGTATATAGAAGAATACTGCACTATATTCGAGTTCAAACTCGTCCGCCCTGTAAATATCGCGCAAAAAACTTGTGTTTCTTTTTTTTCATATTATTATATTTATTTTTTTCTCTCGTGAACGTATATGTACCGCCACCGTCGTCGCTGCTACTGTTAGAACAATAATATATAATATTATAACAATGTTTGTATAATAGTATATTTTGATGTACTCCCTGCTGGCTGTGTAGCTGATATGCTGCTGCAACCGTCGTCTGTGTGCATGTGTATGTGTGTGTGTGTGTGTGTGTGTGTAAAGACTGACAATAATTAACCGAAAAGATATTATGATATATACTAAAAAAATATATATTATATTTAATAATATTTAAAAAAAATTAAAAAAAAAAAAAACAGAAATATATATATATTATATAAATTAATTATTGTTAGTTTGACCGATCTCTATGTTTTTAGTATATATTATATATATTTAAAACAAATCTCGAAACGTGTACAAAATTTTAATTATTATTATTATTATTATTATTTTAACTAGGAAAATAAATTCGATTCGGAACAAATGAAAAACAAAAAATAAATGATGAAAACGTTATAATTATATACACACGGCGCATATACGTGTGTGTATAGTTTTATTTTTACCATTTATCATAAATATAATTATTACTATTGTAATTTTTTTTTATATATATATTTTTGTTCCGAGGACTCGTTTTTTTCTCAACTTAAGTCAACGAAACCCCTTATTACTGTACATAACCATAATTTATAAGAATAGTTTTAAGGTCATAATATATTATATTGTTGGTGTAAGTTTTTAATTATTCTTGTGCATATATATATATATATATACACAATATATTATATTATTATGTAGGTACTAATGTTATGTGTAATCATATTTCTGTGTAAAATTTTTCTCGAACTATTTTTGTATGCTTTTTTAAGTTAAAATTATTATTTTTTTTTCTTTTATTTATTTTGTTGTTTTTGTATGTAATTTTAAGGATTTAATGTGTTTGTGAACCATTAACGTGGACAAAACCGTTGGCACCGGATGTTTATATATCGAATAATATCTTACCTTCGCGTCGCCTACAACGAAACTAAACGAATAACAAACAGACTTTTAATATAATCCGTACTTAAACACATTTAATAATAATGCGATAATATATTATGTATATTTTATATATTTTTATTTTAATAACGCTCGCGAAACTACTCGTAAAAGCTCAAAAAATAGACGACTATATTATAATATTATAAAAATTATTACTACTATACACGGTCTAAATATAGTGGTAATCACAACGAAACTGTTTACCATTATAATTGTTACGTCCTTTAAACAAATTAATGAATAATAATAATAATAGTAATGACTTAATAAATATTTCAATGTTATTGGTATGAAAAAAAATTTTAAAAAAAATTGAATTTAACCAATGGTAATATAATATAATAATATACGATGTAATGTCGACACGCACGACGCGAGGAAAACATACAATTTTCTTATAATTAATTATCACTCGTCTCGTCAATTTTTCGTAAAACTCGTTTTTTAAAAACCTCAAACTATATACCATATTATACCATGTACCATTACCTAATAATATTATACAGCACCGATATTATACGATAGCGAATTATTATTATTATTATTATTAGGTATATATTTTGCGAATAACAATAACATTGTTGTTATATTATTATTATTATTATTACTACTATAAATAATTACCGTCGTTGGTTTGCTCGTACCTATATTATATTTCCAATGTTGCTCAAGTAAATACGAAATCTAAAACGAAAACGAAATTTTTCCTCTGATTTTCTCTCTCTCTCTCACTCAATCTCTTTCTCTCTCTCTCTTTAACTTTTTCTTTCTGTTTTTATTTCCTTCGTTGTTTACTGTAATAATATAATACTCATTATTATACATACTCGCCATTCGTCGTTTACCGTCGTATTGTTACGATATATGTAAATTTTTTTTTTCGGTCGGCCGATCGTATTATTGTGCCCTGCACAGTTCATTATGTTATGCCCTGTCGACGCGCATGCGTTTGTCGTGGTGTTTTTTTTTTTGGGGGGGAGGGGGTTGATTATGAGTCGCGATTGGAGGGTCAGGTATTTGTCGGATGATTGTATTTGAATTATTTTGAGGAGTCAAAAAAAAAAAAAAAACCAGACGAAACGAAAAACTCAATAGTGATCGGATAAGGACAAGGCGTTTATTGTATAATACATCGATATGTGATTATTATATAATATATTGTTTTAAATTATTATTAATCTAAACGAATGGTGACGAATTTGTAAGAAGGTTTAAATAAGGTTAATTAAATCTTTTAATGTTAGTTTTTTTTTTTTTTTGTTCTCTCCTTATATTTTCTTTAAATTTTACGTTCCGTTAGAGACTGTGAACCGGCATGTGATTGAATTAACGAGAAATCGAAAGGAATTTATTATATACATGGGTATATATAGATATATAGTTAAGATGTGATTTATTGAAAAAAAACTAATCGAATAAATGTTTTTTTTAAAACAAATTTTCTACGAAATTGTTATGATAATAATATATACTGTGTACCTAGGGAAGAATTGATTATTTAAATATTATAATATATTATACATGTTGTAAAATACACGAAATATGTTTTTTTTTTTCATTTCTTTTTTTTGTACTTGACGGCGCCCGCGAAACGGCGTTGGAGAAAAATGATATATATATATGTACGTCGTATAGTTTAGCACACTTTTAATTTATATACATGATACATACATACACGTATATATATATTATGTGTGTGTGACGTTAGCTTAATATTTATATAAAACAAATCTTTAATATATTATTATTATTATTATTATACGTGTGTATGTATATATAATAAATGTTTACTGTTAGGAAAAAAATGTTCGCAATTTTTATAAATAAATATTATATTATAATAAAATACGAAATAAGACCGTAGTAATATGTTATTATTGTGTAGTGTCGTGTCGTGTCCGCAGTCGTTGTAGGTACCTCCTTGAACGATGACCTGCAGTTATGCCGCTCCGCCGTAATTTTGGATCAGCAGCGATAAAATTTTTTTTTTACTATTCTTTTTTTTTTACGCAGTCTCCGAACTATTTATAGACATCGCGGAGGTATATACCTACTGACCGCGGCCGCGACATGCGACGGCGTTTGCACACAATTTTTTGTGAGGGCCCGACAGTAAAATCACTTGCTGGCTGTTGTACGTGTGTGGTCTGCAAAGTGTTCCAACATAAATGTTACGACTATATCGTTATACCTACTCACTATAATAGTAATGACTTCTCTATGGTATAGCCGACACAGCAATAATCGGATGTGATATGTCTTACCAGGAATCGAAGAAACAGCAACTATATAATATTATTGTTTGTCAGTTTACGCATGGCGATCGTATTTATTTCCAGCGGCTGTTTATTTGTTGTGTGTGTGTGCCTATATAGCTTTGGTATATATAATATTTGGTTCTCGTATTGTCGTCATGTATAGCGTTCGAAATGCCGAAAGTTCAAAGGTCGTTTTCCAGTATAGGTTTCGTGGTTTTGTGATTATTTAAAAATTTTCGTAATTTTTAAACGATATAATATTTTAATATTGAAAATCAATTTTTTAGGGCATTTATCGCGTTATTTTTTAGAGCATTTTATTTGTATTTCTACAGGGCATTTAAATCCAGGCCTTTATAATTATTACTGCAGTAGAGTGGTGTTTTCGTAAACAAACCATAAGACCGCTTATGAATTTGAAGCAACATGATAAATCAATAGATTTTTTTATTGTTTTTAGACCAATGGAAAAGTAATCAGATTTAACCCTATGAAAAGCGTATAACGCTACTGAATAGTTTTATAAAATGGAGTAACACTTTACACTAGGTACCCAATAACAATTTGTTTTCTATTTTACAATTTGTTACTTTTACACATTACTATACCTATGCCTACTATACCTATTACCAAGCAATGATCATTATTAATTGACTCGCAAGGTGTTCACAATCAAGACCCAATAAAGTCGGTGCAAAATGTTCTCGAAAATCATAAGGTTTTCCAAATATTGTTACTGTTACGGTTTTGAAGCTGTGATTATTTAATCAGTGGTCAAGAATCAAGATTTAATAATGAAGGTTATTATGTGCACTATAATATATCTAGTACTTACCTATACAAGTAAGTATATAAAATAAAAACCAGTCATTAATTCGGTTAGCGGGCTTATTTTTAATATCATTACAATTATAAAGGTCAAGTCTTCACGAGTCAATAGTTTATAATTATAATAACTTTATTGCATTTTAAAAAAAAATTTACTTACATTATACAAATAAAAATTATTTAAATGATTGTCTCCAAAAACCTAGGCTTGTGATGTAGGAGGCAACAGTTCTTATTTATAAGTTTATATTATTTGAATAACTATACAATGAAAACATTTTTAATTATGCGTTTGAATAATTTACGCAATTAAAATAAGTTAATTAATTATATTATACTAAATCGTTCTAACATCTTAACGTCATATTAT